TTGGCAGAATCATTCATCTTGGGACTGATTAAAAGTTTTCTTTTTTTCTTTTGTTTTGTTTTTCTATTACGAACTAATATCCTTGAGTTTTGCAACGAAAAGTATTTTTGTTATTTTATTTCGACTTTATCAATGAAATTATATGTAAATTGAATTAAAAAAAATTCAAACATAAGTTTAAATACAAGTAAATTATGAGTTCTTGATAAAATAATTTAAATATGGGTCATTCTCACAAAAACCAGCTCTCATGGTATTTATGCATATTTTGTTTTTGGAGGAAAGTGTCTTTAAGAATGCATTTAAGCAAAATCATAAAAGTAAGATTGTTAGTTTTTTCAATTCAAATTTTATATGACTAAAATATTGTTTTATACATTATTTCACTTGTCCCCACAGTTTATATAAGCAAAGGAATAAAATATTTCTCAGGAAATAAGCAATGAATTTATTTTTCACTTTAAAATATTGAAATATATAATTTTGAAAATCAGCTTTAAATTCAGCATCATTTATATGTGTAGCATCATTTCCTTGCAACACTTATTGACTCTCCTGAATTGCCGCATAAAATTTTTCAATAAAATCTTTAATGATTTACAATTAGCAACATTTTCAAAATTGCAGCATGTTTTCATTTTCATTTCACCATTGTAATTCATTAAAATTCATAATACATGAAATCAATTATATTTCATACTTTCATATTTACTTTTATAATGTCTTTTTTTAAAGTAAAATATAATAGTAGTTAAAAATGAATTGTTTAGAATTTTAAACTTTATTAATGTTATCAATTAAATTTTATCAATACGCTTTAAGAGACTACTTCTGTAATAGTTGCTTAGTTTGAGTTTTGAAGTCCTAGAGAAGACTAGTAGTTATTACTTTCTAGTGACGTCATAAAGTAGAGGCCTGTTTTCATTTAATGCGATATATTTTGTCTCCTACTGTTTTATTATTTTTTTTCAATGAATAATTCTTTGACATGATTTTTTTATTTATTCTTAATAAATTTTTTTGATAAGCTTTCTTCAATAATTCAATGAAAACAAACTTCAAAAAGCTCCACTATCTTTTTATTTGTGAATCATAAACTTAGTAAATTAGTATAGCATATTTAAATTAAAGTATAAGTTATAACTGATACCTTTATTTTCGGTTATGTATAATTGTCACAATTTTTTTATTTAAATGAAATTTATTCTTTATTATAGAATAATTGCCCTTCATAATTTTTTTTTTCCGATCTGAAATTTTTATTTTGATTATATTTGTACGTTTGTAAAAAAAATCCATTAAGATTAATAACTGAAGTGACAGTTTTAATAAAGGTATGATTAAATTTTGCAGAGACAAAGACATTAAGTCATAAGGCAATGTCTAATTTATTTTTTACAAAAATTTCCTGAATATTTCGCTACATGTTTCTAATGTAAAATAATTTGAACTATGCATGTGTATTATAGAATGTAAATACTAATATTAAGTACACATTTCTTTCTAGTAATTTATTGCAACTATTTAATTCTTAAGCTTTTCTTGTACTTTTGACCATCAAATCCATCTAATCGATTCAATCAAATTTAAACTTTAAGAAAACGTAGATACACTGAAACTAGTTTAAAAGATATTTTCTGTATAAAAGGCAATTTTTTTTAAAAATTAAGAAAACTTACGAAGCATTTATGAAATTTACAATCCCTCTGCACTTTTCACATTTATAAAAACAAGTTTTGGCTTAGCAAACGGAAGCTCATTGTTGTATTTCAATTCAATGCTATTTATAGTTCATTTTTTAAAAAATATTATTTTGATTTTGATTTATTTCAATAAGCTAAAAATAATTTAAATCAAAAATATTTTTAATTTTATTTTTTCTGTTTCAGAATTCGTTTTTTCAAACTTTCTTCTTTTGTGAACTATTAAATTCAAAGTTTTAGCTAATTTGTTTTAGTACTTTCTTTTAGTAATGCAGTTTTTTCACTATCTCTTCAGTATTCGAGTTGTCTTATAAAACGTTATAAGTAATAAAGTGCAACATTTGAATTCAAATTTTTTACCTCGTGCTCTACAAATAAATTTCAGAATTTTTCCACGATGTTTCATATCAGATTAAGAGATGTCTCCTACTAGGCTTATTTGTGAGATTAATTGTTAAAATAAATCTTTTGATATTTGTTAAGTCAAAATGTAAAAAGGCTCAAATGCTTAAGTAAAAATGCTCATCGTAACAAAAATAGTACGAAAAATTTTGCAAAATTATTCCTTGGAGTATATTCCCTATAATTGTTATATCATTTTCAAGCAATCTTATTGAAATTATTTTTCCTGAAACAATATTCACAAATAGTAGAACAATGCACATTTCCTGTCATGAAATTTATCCCGTTTTGATAATGAAAATTGGCTGCCTGCCTTCTTCTCTTTCTATAGTTTTTTTTAAAAACGCTCATAACCGCCCACGCTTTGATGGAGGAGCGCTGTATCAAAGAACTTAGAGTGCTGTATCAGCTAAATGGTCCTTAAAAATTACACGAAATAGTATGCATATAAGTAGGCTGTCGACTATCTGGTCTGATGAATAGGAAAAAAAAAATTGCCGAAAAGGACGAATTTTAACTTCGTAACCTCCCTTTTATGCAATCAAAAACACGTGTTACAGGATTAATGATTAATGTAAATTATAAATTTATTAATAAAATACACAAATGTTTAAAGCTATGACTAGGAAGAGTCAAAATGTGCAGAATCCTCTTTTTTTCTTCTTCCGTCTCCCTAGACGAGATTTACAAACGATTTGTTCCATTATATTTCTTTTTCTACAAAACTAGATGGTTGAGAGCTGTGATCGGAAAAACTGCATTATTTTTGTAGTTTTCTACAACTACAACTACTTTGTTTTAAATTTAGCTAACTGCAACTACAATTATTTTCTTTTTAAATGTAGCGACTACAAATTACTTTGGAATTAAAGTAACTACATCACTACTTTAAGGATACTTACGATAAATGTTAGGGAATAATTAAGAAATATTTATGCATGAGTCAGTTTGCTAAGCCAAAACATTTTTGTTCGAATTTGTTCGTTTTATCTTCAACTTTTTCTGCCTTTTTGCGAATATTTAATTTAGGAAATGCGAAATTATTAAATACTTGAAATTTTTTAATTGTTTAATGCTCTTTTATTTCTTCTAAGAAATTAAGAGTAAGTACATCGAAAATACGTTCACTTCCTTTTAAAATCCTTTTCAATGTTTCACAAGTGCGCAGTCGGAAAAAAAAAGAAAGAAAAAAAAGATATCACTTTGAATGACTTTCGTTCTAATGATCGGATTTTTACGAACTATGTGTCAACCTAAATGGTTCCTAGGGGTGACCTCATGTATGCTAATCAATTAGTGCTAACTATGAATTAAGTTATTAAATCAGACACAAAAACGTACTTTCTCTGAATAAACTTAAATATTTTTTAACATATTTGGTATCCTGACCCTTGAAATAGACAAATATTTGAAAAAAAATGGGTCGTAAATTGGGTAGCAATAAAGATTTATATATCTGGCGAAAGTTTAAAAAAATGCCAAATTACTTCGCCATAGAAGGTGAAACAATAGAACACAGCCATAAAGAAACTGAATGAATGACAAGACTGCAAAACATCGTGTTTCTCCGTTGCTAAGCAACCAAAAGGTGAATTTTTGGGGGTGCTTTCTTGGCAAAGCAAACATATTATTTTATTTTTAATCATCTTTAAAAATAAAATTTGAATCAATTAATAAATTATTTATGATTTTCCACGATTTTAGAATCTGAACGTTGAACTTCATAAAAAGTTCAACGTCAGATAAATGACACTATTTATTTTTTTAAAGCTATTTTAGCTTCATTTTTATGAAAATTTTGTACTAAAACCAAATTTACATAAGTTATTATATATGTATGAAGTGTTGCAGGGCTAATTGCTTTTACACCTCAGTTCAAGTCTCCTAGGTAAGGGAAAGAAGAAAAAAAAAAGATCCAGCAAAAAATTTGAAGGGCCTGAAAAAGATAGCGATTCTGATTGCACAACCACAAGGTTTTATAAAATTGACGGTATTTCTTTTCGATGAACTTGAAAAACTTAGTAAATGCTAAGTGGCGTTTTAAAAGCATTTTGATATATATATATATATATATAATGTTAAGCTAACTGATAAAATTACTTACTCTTTCATTTATAGGAGCTAAAGAAAAACATATGCAAATAAATTTGTATAACCTATCACGTTTTTTTAATGAGAAAGACTCATTGATGCTTGAAATTACAGCAGTTTACTTTGCTGATACAATCTTTAATTTCAGGAAAAAAACGGAGTACTTTTAATATATNTAATTTATATAAGCATGATTTGCAAATAGCATCCCTATGATTCTATACATTCCGAAACTGACTTTATCCACAATAAAATCCTCATGTGACGGATTTCCTCATGTTTTCATCTATAATAAAATTAAATGATAAAAAATAATAAATAATTATTAAAAATTATTTTTTGCATGAAATTATGTTTGGTTAAATGGGTTTTATAAGTGGAGGAAATTTTTTTCCGAGTCGTTTTATTAGTTTTAAAAATATGACTAAAAACGCAAAAAGTGAAATTAACATTAAGGGGTTCGAACTTTGGATCGCTCTCCTGACCAAACTAAATAAGTAAAAATATATACAGATGTTACTTCAGACAAAGTACGTTTTTGTGTCCGATTTCGTGTAATTAATAGTTAGCACTAAATAATTTGCATATTTGAGGTCACCCCCAGTAACCATTAAGATGGATACTTAGAGCATGAAAATCCGATCATGAGAATTATTCTGGGTGATATCTTTTTTTGCCGAGTGCACACTCGTGAAACATAGGTGTTATTAAAGTTTCATTACTTGTAGCGCTGTACTTCCGACCTCTGGTTGGAAGTTTATTACTTTATAAATGATTTTGAATTAAAATGACTTTTTGTTGTAGCTTATTTTCTCTGGTGAATATACTAAAGCCATGTCAAAAGATTGGCATTCAACTCACTTCTGTTGCTGGCAATGCGATGAAACATTGACGGGACAACGATATGTTTTGAGAGATGATCATCCATATTGTACAAAATGTTATGAGCAAGTTTTTTCTAATAGTTGTGATGAATGCGGCAAAGTTATTGGAATAGATTCAAAAGTAAGTAGATTTCAACTTTTGTTTTTAAACAGTTTCGTGCTCATCGAGTCAGCCAGCAGAACTAGAATACGGAGATTGAATCACCAACAACATTCACATTCACTATCACAATCATAATTAATGATTGTCCTTACGTAGATCTCATTGCGCAAAATTTGCGTTTATAGTTACCGGCTTATTAAACTTTGATAGTGGCAACATTTTTAATTTAATTTATCGTTCTTTAAAAATAATTTGCCGTTTTTTAGAAAATACTCTTTAAATATTTTTAAAATATTTCAAGTTGTACAAAAGATAAATGCTTTTGAAAATAAAATACATTTTAATATCAATTATCAACAAATGTCTCCACTTCATAGCAAAGTTTTACGATTACCATTCTACATCAGAAGAGTTAACCCAAATTTGTTTTAGAAACTTTTCAAACTTTATTAAAAAAATATAAAAATGAAAACAAACGCTTTTATTTATGTAGACGCATAATAAATTTCCTTCGAATTATATCATGTGAAATATTTGTCCGATAGAAATGATTTTAATGTGATTTAAATGTTGTTTTGCCTAAATGTTTTTATTTCCAGTCGGGAACCAGTCGCATTATAAATCCAAATTTTACCGGTTTATCGGTCTGGTAAAAGATTCAACTTACACCGGGTACCAAGTATTTGAACCCGGCAAAATTTTAGAACCCGATACGCCTCTTATTTCTTTCATTCATCTCTGAAGATTAAAATTAATTTGAACTTTAATCGATTGCTTCAAAACGGCAATGATCAGAGCATTTTGAGCATGTTCTAAAAGCTCTATGTCAAGAAACTGGAAACTCATTCATTTATTAAACGAACTTCTTTCGCACGAATTTAGGAAAATATATAAATAAAAATTCTAAGAAGAAGACTCTTTTCCATCTTGCACTTCAAGAACAACAAACGTCCATGATGTCACTTAAAAAAGAAAACAAAACTAAGGTCAAGCGCGAGGGAAAGAACTAAATTTTTGACAGAGCTCTAGGGGAATTAAAAATATTATTTAAAAAATCACAAACAATCTTGTGTTTATTAATTTTTCGTCGTTCTTGTTCAAAATTAAAGGGAAAATATCAGCTTGAATTTTATACAAATTTCATGTTTATTTGTATAATAGAATCTGGGCTGTCATGCTTTAAATAAGATGGCTGGGGAGAAATCAGGAAAAACAGCAAAACAACGAAAAGAGAATTGACAGGGTTAGTGTTGACGCAGATCATGACGTCGATCGTCAACCCCTCCCTCTCTCTCAGCGTTCTAAACGTTTTCTTGAAACCTAAAGTAATGTATGTTTCTCGTCAAATTTTTATAGCTAAATAGTTCATTAATCTATATTAAGGAGCTCGTTTGGATAGAAAATAATCCATTTGATGCAATAGCATCATTAATTTTTAATTTAAAGATAATTAATTAAAAAAAAATTAAGGTTTAGTTGTTAGTTTCGGTTTTGGAAGATTGTTTCGACCATTTACAAATTGCGATTTCTGTATTATTCGATATGATGATATTTAATTAAAAGATGTATGTTTTGGAGTAACGTTGGAATTGCTTTTAATACTTTTTAATTATAAATTAAAATAGGTATTTTATTTATTTATTTCGGAATTTAAATTTTTTTTCATGTAGAATTTTATGATAGTTAACGGTTCCCACAAAAATCTAAATTTTTGTTTAGAAAACATTACATATTTAGCTTATACATTAGCTGAATATCTTAAGCCTTTGAAATTCTAATTGCGAAACATAAAAAATTCTCAAAATAAAACTGTATGAGAATATTTTTATAAATGAAATATCCAATGACCCTCAAAACAATAAATGGAAAAAATTACGTATGTTTTGAGCGACACAAAATGTTATTTTGATAATCTTTTAGCTTTTTTCTCAGACAATTGTAGTTTTACTGGCCTCACTGCGGTGCGTATAAGGCAAATATATAATTTTTTTTAAATAATTTTAAGACGTGAGAGATAAAGTGCTAACAAAAGGAAATTAATTATGACTATTAATTAGTTGAAAAATGGTCTGTAGGAGTGCTATCCGTGTGTAATTGGTTTATAACAATTCAATTAAAATGTAATTGGTTGGAAACAACGCGTTCCATAACCTATCATATTTTAAAAGGATCTAATTTTAACTGAATTCTCACTTACTGTATCAAAATCCATTGTATGAAATACAATAACAGTATGAGGACACATAACTTTCTAAAAGACAATTATTTGTACTTTCATTTTTTGCAAATAGTTATTCTTTTTATTTTGTAAAATTTCCTATCATTTGCACTTGGTTTCTGCCTAATACAATAGTTTTAACCCTTAATGCACTGCAGTCAGACCGGCAGACAAACAACAATTGTTTCACTTTAATCAACGTTCACATAGAGTATATGAGAATTTCATATTTACATAAATGAAATGATTTTTCCTTAGAATGCTTCTAATGGTATTATGAACTAATGATAACATTGATGCCTCATACAGCCCCAGATTTAAATACATTGGGTGTTATTAAGTTGTCACTTTATAAATTGAAGCAAAGTATGCTATTATACAACTCAGTATCACTCTTCAATATTTATATAAAGCTCATTTATTGTTGCTAAATTCCACAAAACTGTAATAGAGAATAAGCATAATTGTGTAACTGTAAAGTTAAATTCTTTATAATTATAGATTGTGTTTTTAAAATATTACATGCATAGAAAATATTTTATAAAATCTAATCACTATTAATTATGAAATTTTTTTATAAATTTATGAACTAGAAATTGTTTCGGACTTACCAACATTCTCACACATAAAAAATATGATGGTTTGTTATTTTTACTGATAAGTGATAATTAATAATATTTTTATTTCGAACCTGACCAAGTTATTAGACTCACTATATGATTCTATGTAAAATCTTAATTATCAGGTGATACTATACAACTCTATCGTTTTCAAGCGACTGAAACCGGTTTGCACTTGTTTACGTTCGTGTATAAATTGGTTAAATTAGGCGATATATAATATAAATTCGACGATTGGATAAATTAGACGATATATTATATAAATATAGAATATTTATTATATCAGGTATTATATTATTATATTGTAATAATTAGATCAAATTATTAGACGGACAGTAGTTTTTAATAATTACATCTTTTGCACGAGTTTATATGCAATACTTTTTATATTTAAACACATATGTGATCAGAAGATTTCTTACATATTTCCTATTTATATTTATTTTTAACGTATTGCATTACAATGTTGACCTATTGATACACGAACGTTAACGATTGTAAACCGGTTTCAGCCACGTAAAAACAATAATTCTGTATAGTAAAACCTGATAATTAAGATTTTACATAGAATCTTACAGTGCGACTAATAATTTAGCCAGAGACTGTAGTATGCTTTGTTCTAGTAAATTGCGTGTATTTTTGTATTCTCTATAATGAGTTATTAGAATAAGCTCATTTTCCCCCACATTTATATTAACTTGCAACCTTCTATATTTTCGACTGCTTTTTTTAAAGGTTTAAAAAATGTATGTTATAATTTTTGGAAAACGTTATCCTGTATAAAAGGATCGGATAATCAGGCAGTCTTTAACTTTTTAAGAAATATTTAAAAAAGAAATATGTTTAAAAAAAGTTTTACAGTTATAAGTGATAGGATGTAAAAAAATCCTTTGTAATTATACATAAATTTTTACAATAAAATGTTAAGCAGTTTTTAATGGAATATTGATAAAACATAGGTAATTATCTTTTTTTTTACGAAATTCCTTTTTGATAAGTTAACTTTTTAAATACGTGAAATAGGCATATGCGGATGCAATTATTTTTGGGTACAAACTGTATTACACTTTACAATAACATAAAGGGGATCAACTCACTTTTGAAAACATATTTTTTATTTTCTAGTGGTCAGCAAATTTAAGAGGGTGCAAATTGATTTCAAAATAGTGTTTATTTGGTGAAAGGACTTACTTTTATTACTAATTAGTTATAACTAAGGTGAAAACATATGTTTAATGCTTAAGTTAGTGACTTCAAGTTCATATGTCAGGCCACGCACATAGTTTAGAATATGGTATAGTTAGTATTATGGTATAGCAATGCGAAGCTCACTACTAACAGATTGAGACAAATTAAAAATTGATGTGTAATAAATAAAAATTAAGTAACTTTTAAATAAATTTTCATTAATTACTTAAAACTCTTTAAATTTTTTAATTTATTGTTATATTTTGCACTGTTAGTCAACGGCGACTGACTCGTTCTAAACGGAAATTTCAGTGTCAGCCTCTCATGACTTACGCACTCAGTGTGTTAAAGTGCTCCTTACCTTTTTCTTGGTCTAAGACTTGTGAATAAAAAAATACGCAAATAAAAAATACTAATTGAATAAAAGAATACTAGCAGCATTTTACAATAGATGCTCACTATTCAAATCAATGTTTCCAGACTTTAAATTGCTCACACTATTTTGCTAAATAAATCTTTAAATAATTCTAATCTCAATAATTCTAATGTAGCCAAAATTTGTACTGTTTGTACATAGAACCTTAGTTCTATCGAGTTGGTTTTAATATTATTAGTTTCAACGTAAAAAAATACATCGAAAACATTATTTGCCTATATACAATGTTTAAATTCTGCTCACCTCTCCTTATTCTTAAATTCAAGATTGAGGCTACTAAAGCTCAACTTGGGGGTAAACTTTGATATTCATATTGGGTCACAACTTTAAGAACAAAATATCCATCCTTTCCCTAATTATTTTTGTGTTCAACTACTAAGGAATTGGTTGACAATAAGAAGACCTTGGAGTTTGCTTCCTGACTCCATCAGAGGTAAAAGGCTAGCCTCCATAGACATAATGGAACCAGCCCCCAAAGTTTGGTTCGGTCCCTGTCTATAAAGGAAAAAATAACATTTAGGGCACAGCAGCAGAGATTCTTGAAGAGGGTTTGCAACGTCCTCTACTGAAGTAAAATATCCTCAGTGGTAGAGGGATCCTGGGTTAAAGTCCCATTGCCATTTGACTAACCGTGGGAGGTCTCCGTAGTTTTCCTCTCCCTATAACACAAATGCGGGCTAGTTCCATCAAAAAGTCTTCCCCGATGACTAATTTGTCTCAATACTTGATCCAGGAGTTCTGGATTGGATTCAAAATTACAAGGCTACGGAGTTAAACATTAGTAGTCGTAAACCTTAATTGGGTCGGCTGTTCAATAAAAATCACTACTGGGGTTACGAAAGGATTAGGGAGATTTTTACACTATTGATAAGCAGTTCTGTACTATTAATTTAAACCTTGAGAATATATTTATAGCATCCACAAATTTTGACATAAAAAGAAAAACATGGCGGTGCACCTGACCATATATGTAGAGCTGTCCAACAACCGGTTCACAGGTGACGTTGCTTCTTATGTGGATGCACTGGATCGGTATGCATATGATAATATGCTAAATTTGAGTACGTTGCTCACCCTGTAAGTTGTTTTTCTGGTATAGCAGACCACACTTAGCAATTCCCTACTTTAGTTACGTAATCAAAGTGTTCTTCTCTTGCTGCCATCTTGAATTTACTGAGGTGGTAAGTAAAGAAAAAAACTTAAATACTATTATCTGGATAAGTGAAATACTGTTTTTGAGACTAAAACTAAGTCGGTAAAACTAATAGTTTAGTTGATGTTTTTGAATATAATAATATTTCTTCTACTTTTTAGGATCTCTCTTATAAAGAAAAACACTGGCATGAATCATGTTTTTTGTGTAATAAATGTAAAGTGTCATTAGTTGATAAACCTTTTGGGTCAAAAGCTGAAAAAGTGTATTGCGCAAATTGTTATGACGCTGCTTTTGCATCTAGATGTGATGGTTGCAACCAAGTGTTTAAAGCAGGTATGTGATTCTTGTATTATTTAAATCACATACATACAAGTCTTATTTTTAATCTATTTGCTAAAATTATGGGAATCTCAGAAAATTCTAATTTCTTTCATATAAAAATGTTTTCTTTCTTCAAGTTGATATATTCGATCAAGTAAAATTAAAATTCTTTTTTACATTTCATTTGTTAAAGAACCAACAGATGCAATAGAGTTAGTACCCCTAATGTTTCAAAGAGAATTTTAATTTTAGGCTGAAGCAAACTCTTATTACTAAGTATTTTGAAATTATTTTATTATTTAAAAATGAAAATATTACTTTCACAAATAAAAATTTATATAAAAGAGTAGGCAAATATTGGATTGGTCAACTCCCAATCTCTAATTAAGGAAACATTCCAATATTAATTACATTGACGTATGGAAATAATAAATTTGAAGTAAATTAAGAAATGAAAAAATAATGACATAACTTGGAAATATTAACAAAAAATATGCAGATCCAGATCGATATTCAAACATAATTTGTAACAAACATAATAATAATCTATGAGCATCTAAGTATGTTTTATTTTATTTAGCTTTAATAAAAAAATATATTTATTAACTTCTTAAATACGATATTTTGTTTCATTTAAAATTTGTTTCGCTTAGTTAAAAAATATTAATTAGTAAATCTATTTAAAAAAATATATAATAAGAAATCAGCTTATTTCTAAATGCTCTAAAATGTTCTTGTTCTCTTCGGTATTTTGTTCAAAATTTCAGTAAGATTCTTGGTGAATAATTGCCAATATTGGCCACTTTTTTTTCCTACCTCGTGCGCCAAAGAGAAACCCAGTTTCCATGACAACGGCTGCCATTCTCTCTAGTGCTTATGTGAAATTTGAACGGGAATTCACTTAGAAAATTTTACAACAAAGGCATTTGAGAATGAATAGACAAAATTTCGTGTAATTATGTGATACTACAAACGAAAATGTGCAATATATAACATGAAAATCAAAACAGAAGCATAGATATTGGTAAAAAGTTTTAATCCTAACAAAAAGTATATACGATTTTTTTTGTTCAGTTGAATGCAATTAAAATGCGGACCTAGAAAATTTTCCCCAGCAGTAAATTTGGCGGAAAGCTGTGCTGCTTATGCNTGTAAACTAAGCAAACGATCTGATTGGTTCATGAAAGAAATTGCCTGAACGGTTGCAGATATTTCGTGCAACCGTGATTTCTATATCACACGAGCAATTTTTGGAGAAATTTCATTTACAGTTGCACTTACACTTGCAGTTACACTTGCAGTTGCACATATTTTCTCTCGTGTGATATAGCCATTAAGATTGCCGTATTTGCCGTTTATTTGTGATTGGTATTGTACTTTCTGTGCGCATAAAATGGATGTATCTGCTTATTTACTGAAAAAGAGCTAATATAGATTTTAAAATATTCAATTATTCATACAATAAATATAGTTTCCTAGAAGAAATTTGAAATTAACTCTTTCAGAACAGACAACAAAATTTTAAAAGATGATATGAGAGGAATGAACTGTAATTAATGCAAATAAATCAGAAAAGTTTACCTACCTGCAAAATAAATCGACAATTTCAAGGACAACTTGCATGAGATGATATCAAGCTTCAACAACAAAATCGTCCATCAGTCAACAGTTACAAAATAAGTTATCAGTCACAGTTAAAGCTCGTGCCTCTCATAGTATGAAAGTTTGGTGCAATCGATTGGGCCATGAATGTATTTCTCGATCATATTTACTAATTTATGGTGCAACCTAAATAAAGCAATTTTTCATTTAACCAATTTATGGTGCAATTAGAAACTTTACGCCAAGTATTGGTTAAACATTTACACGGATTTTTTACATTGTAATATTCCTTGGGTATTGGGGAAAGCTATTAAGAAAGCCAACCGTGCATTACCTGTATCTCTAAGAAAACGTTGTACTGTTCAACGCATACTCTGTAACCTTACTACCCAAACAAAAGAAATAGCTTAGTAACAAAGTTTCTGATGAAACAAAAAAAAACTTGTAATAAATTTTTACTCATCTGATAAACTTTCTTACCAGACTTCTGGTGGAGCTGAGTACATTATTGTCACAGAAAATGGACAGAAAGTCCACAAAGCCAAATGTGCACCTTGATGGAAGCATATCAAGTATCAAAGCAGATGCATNCCTCTCATAGTATGAAAGTTTCGTGCAATCGATTGGGCCATGAATGTATTTCTCGATCATATTTACTAATTTATGGTGCAACCTAAATAAAAATTTTTCCCCATTTAACCAATTTATGGTGCAACCTAAATAAAACAATTTTTCATTTAACCAATTTATGGTGCAATTAGAAACTTTACGCCAAGTATTGGTTAAACATTTACACGGATTTTTTACATTGTAATATTCCTTGGGTATTGGGGAAAGCTGTTAAAAAAGCCAACCGTGCATTACCTGTATCTCTAAGAAAACGTTGTACTGTTCAACGCATACTCTTTACTTCCAAAACAAAAGAAATAGCTTAGTAACAAAGTTTCTGATGAAACGTAAAAAAAAAAAACTTGTAATAAATTTTTACTCATCTGATAAACTTTCTTACCAGACTTCTGGTGGAGCTGAGTACATTATTGTCACAGAAAATGGAAGGAAAGTCCACAAAGCCAAATGTGCACCTTGATGGAAGCATATCAAGTGTCAAAGCAACATCCAACAATAAAAATTGGCAAATCTAAGTTTGCTGTACTACGACCTATGCATATTTTATGCATAGGTAAAACACAATATAAAATGTGTATGTGCTATTCACGAAAATGTGAATTTACTAATAAAATCACAGTTGTTTACCTAATAATTACATAGAATTACTAAATATAGCGAATTGCGACAATCGCTTAATTGACTTTTTATTTTATAACCGTCGTTGAAGAACGGACCTAAATTTGAGTTTCCGGCTACCATTGTTCAACTCCTTCGCCTTGTAATTTTAAACCCAATTCAAAAGACAAGGGAACTAACTCCTCGATCAGTTCCCCCCAGAGGTATTGATTTGTTTTGAGGAAATTGGAGGACTTTGTGACCCGACATATTTAATGCACAATAGCCACGATTTAAAGCACTGGGATTCTTTAGATGTTACAATAGATAGTTTTGCAAGTGTAAAAAGGTCTAGGAAAATATTGGGTTGTTAATTTTATTACCCAAATAACTGAAATTGAGAAAGACACGAACAATGCACTTTTTTTTAAAAACACGGTCTGGTAAAATAAAAACTTTAAAATATAACTACAAAGATGTAGCACAGATTTTAATTATAGCAGTGCTGCCAACTCCAACTTTAAAAAACCGAAGAGTCACTTTTAAAAGTAATATTTTCCTTTAACTTTTTGTCAAATTTTTAAGACTACTCTATGTTCCATTACTATGTGAAGAAATAAAAAAAAATAACAGAAAATGTTTTTTAAATAGGAACGAAGAAGATGGAATATAAAGGGCGCCAATGGCATGAAAAATGCTTCACCTGTTCTGTATGCAAAAATTCCATTGGCACTCAAAGTTTTATTCCTCGAGAAAATGATATATACTGTACAACATGCTATGAGCAAAAATATGCTACAAGATGTATTAAATGCAATCAGGTAGGTACGATTTAATTTCAATTCAGTGAAAAAATATTTTATTGTGAAAAAAAGCTAAAAAGATTTAATTTTGTATTCCATTTTTTCTCTTTTACGCTATCCTCTTGTTTTAATTTGCACTTCGTCAGTGAGCTTTTTATTTTGAACAAAGCTCAAAAATCGCGTTTAAGAAGAGGAACACAGCTGAAAATACGTGTTTAAGACAATTGACACAGCACAAATGCGTGTTTGAGACGATGGACTCAGCTCAAAATGTGTGTTTAAAACTAGATATGGTTCAAATTGCACGTTAAAAAATGGCATTTGTTTCCTTTCTTCTCTTATTATTTTTTTTTTTTTGAAGAATTAAACTAATGGATCCAAACAAATTTGTAATATGTTGTTCATTCAAAAAAAAAAATTTTTTTTTTAAACTCAGCAGTTGTTTTTACTTTGTTGTCCCGGGTCCTATATATTTATAATGGTTACATTAAAATTTACGTCCAAAAATTTAGTTTTTAAAAAGAAACTACTACATCAATCTGAATATATTGTCTGAAAAGTTACACCACGACCCCCAAATCCAGGATATTTCCCCGTTATGATTATGCAAGGTGTTTAAAAAAAGAAAGTAAGAAGGCATTATCTTAAACACACATTGTGCTAATTTTTTTAAAGACGCATTTCAATTGGCAGAACACGCATACTTGATAGTGAGTGAATGTGGTAACACATACGATGAAACTTATAGATTTAAATATTTTTATTAAATACAGTACCATCTCGATACAGCAAACAACTTGAAAAATATTGACTTAGAGTACAGCATAAATATATAAGGGTAACATCGTACATCACCCAGACACAGCGACATAGTTAGTGAATTCGTTAAATGGCATAGTGAAGTGACAACTATTTTCAACAATACGTGCCTTTTATGCAAATTTAACTTACGCCACTTACGTTATCTGTAAAAAAAATAAATAAATAATAATACCTGTTTTCAACACATGACCGAAACTTAATTCTGTTAATCTGTTAATTCAATGTGCTTAGAGGAGTAACTAACCACTCTTAACAATTTCGACCTGCAATCATTTTCTTAAACACGCATTTTAAGCTGTTTCTCTTCTTAAAAATGCATTTCGAGCAGTGTTCATTTTCTTAAACACGCTTTTTTAGCTGTGTCCATTTTTCTAAATACGCATTTCGAGCTGTTTCCTATTTTTTAAACACGCAACTAGTTTAAAAGGCAACTAGTTTATAAATTTCACCGTAATATATTTCAACTTAGGACAGTTTGAGGATGGGCAAAACTATTTGCGTGATAGATGGATGATTTAATACATAGTGTTACTTTATGTATATTTTTAGAACCTTTTAAAAATGTAAGAAAGAAATGTAGCGGAGAGTGTTTTAAGTTAAGATATTGAAAATTTCTAAGAATAAAATGACTTCCAGGAATAACATCACTGCAAAAGTGAACATCCGAAGCATTAAATTAAAGTCTAGAACAAAACCTAAAAGTAACTATTTGTATTTTTTTTTTTTTACTTTTTAATACGAGTCTATTATATTCTATTCAATTTTAACTAATTAAAAATATAATATTTTTAAATGTTTAAGACTTGATAAAATAGTTATAATTCATTTAGACAAACTGCAATTTTGATTGCTTTTAAATCATGTTAGAATTGAATCCCCCTGACTTTTGATCTAATAATCGGATTTTCCCATATTTCGATGGTATGTTAATTAATTAGCTCAGACGATATTTTAAGTTACGAAATCAGACAAAAGAACTTATGAATAAACACACTTTTTTTCCTACTGATTTGAATTTCTGACTCTTGAAATAGTGGGGGGTAGTTGCAATCTGAGAAATGTGGTCCTTATAATTTGTTTGGGGGAGCGGTCGAAAGTTTGAAGTCTCTAATGTTAATTTTACATTTCGCGTATTTCGTTTTATCTTGAGAACTTTTCAAGAGAATTTAAAATTTTTTTGCACACAATTATAAAATTCATTTATCTAAAGATAACTCTACTCGAAAATAAATGTTTAATAATTATTTATCAATTTTTTATTGTTTATTTAATAATTGGCGAATAAATTTTGTATTTTAAAGTACACATTTTTTTCATGATTTTAAACAACGTAATTTTAAATGGCAAAATACAAAATTAGAGCGAAATTAGTATGAATAGTTCCTGAGAAATTAAATTTTAAATGTACGACTTTCTTAAGGTTTTTGGGTAAACGAACTTCAAAAATAAAGAAAATAAAGAAAAATAAAGAAAATACAAAACAAAACAAACGAAACAAAAATAAAGAAAAGCACCGTCCTTCTGATCAAATTATTGTGAACATATTTCTCAGATTGCGACTGCATGTCCTATGCTATGAGGATAAGGAATCGAAATCCGTCTGAAAAAAAGGTATATTTTATTAAGATAAAGTATTTTTTGTGTCTGATTTTGTAACTTAAAATGTTGTTTGCACACATTAATTAGCATATTTAAAATTCTCCACCCTCTCGCCCACGCGAACCATAAAGTTTAAGTCCTAGTACGTGAAAATCCGATCATTAGTTTAAAAGTTATTCAGGGTGAGTCATTTTTTTTTCTTTTTTGCACATTGTATATAAGGCTCAATATATGCGTAAATTTTAAAAATTTCTATATCTTTTGCTACAAGGACTAGTGTTCTAATCTGATGCTATCTTTTAAATACAGGAAATGTAATATTATATTTCCGTTCAATATATTTTTACAATACATTCATTATATATTCTAATTTGCATACTATGAATTTTGAAGCAGTGAACTAGATGTTTCTATATTCTTCAATCAGAATTGTTTTTTTTTCTAAAAAATCTTTTCTATCCTTTGTATCTTTTCTGTCCCATAAATAAATGAAATTCCTTTGTTTAAATAGTTTTTAATATGTTGAAAATGATAAAAAGGTTCAAGTTTTGTTCTCCTTCCATTACTCTTAAGAAATATTCTCCGCAAGTGTTAAATTGGGAACATGACTCTGTTTTTCCACCTTTATTTATTTTAAATTTTTTGTTTCGTCCCACAATAGACTGATCGAAAGACACGAAGTCAAGCATCACAGGCAGTGATAAGTGAGGGGGCGGGTGGCCACTTTGATCAGCTTACAAAGCAACCAAGCTTGCGCGGTATCGGTCCTTTTTTAAACAGTTTAACCTTAAAGTGCTCGACTTCGAGAATAAGTCTTCGGGCCAACAACTCCCCTCTACAGAGGATCAAAATTATAATAGTATTTATTCGGATTATATTCATCACAGATGTTTCGTAGACCGTCGCCAATAGCTCATTGCGCAGCTCTAGTATGACGTAAATAAAGTACTAATATTACTGATTTTCTGTTTCACTCTTGGCTACCATATTACTTTTAGTTTTGTTTGCAACTCTTCGTTTTCTGTTTTAAATTACTTTTGTTTTCTTCATCCATGTCTGGCGAGACAACTATTTTAAAGCGCTCGAAACATGTTTACTTTCATTACTATTTTCCTATTTTTTTTAAAAATAAGAACTTCTCTTCTTTGGGAAAGACATCTAAATACGTATTTTCTCAATTAAGTGTTTTAAAAATAAAATGATGGTTGTAAAATGTTTGTTGACATAAGGTCAGTTGACGTGAAACTGCCCCAAGATACAACAAGGTGTCGTTCCTTGGGACTGTTTCTAAGTTAAGTGGTTGGTGGATCAGACTGGAACTGGAGTTGCATCAGAAAGGTTCGAATCCCGCCATGGGTGTTCACTGTCCTTTTATTCTCTGTAGGCCCACCTAATATAGGGTCCCCTTGAAAGAGTGATCAACGCCCGAATTGACGAATGTCAACCCAGGTGGGAAAAAAAGTTAAGTAGTTTTTATTTTAAATTTGTTTACGTTGCAAAAATACAGCACAGGATCTTTAGATTTTACTTCTGACTGTAATTGTTGAAACTAAAAATAAAGATGCGAAAAGTGTTCAAGGTGAAGTACGTTATGGGTCGGAAATTAAAATTTAAGATACTATCAATTTCAATACTATCAGAGACTTTGATAGTATCTAAATTATCAAATGCTATCAAAGTTTAACGAAACATTTTTGACAGAAGTTAAACTGAAAACATAAAAACCAGTTTGATGGTTGTAAGAAACGCTGTTAGAAGCAACCAGGAAAATCAAATTGATTTTGGTGCTTTTCATCCTGCTTTCCTCAGTAGTAAAATGACTTATTTCTTTCGCTTTAAAATAAAGAGAATTAAACTGGAGAATGTATTTATTTCAGACTATAACTGCAGGGGGAGTGACATATAGAAATGAACCATGGCATAGAGATTGTTTCTCTTGTACCAATTGTGGAACATCTCTTGCTGGTCAGCGGTTTACATCTCGAGATGAAAGACCATATTGTGCTCAGTGTTTTGGTGAACTTTTTGCAAAGAAATGCACTTTATGTGTTAAACCTATCACTGGTAAGTGTGTCCTTTCAATCGTGTTAAATTTAGTTTGTGTAAATTGTTATTTCGCCTTTTTTATTTTAAGCCTTCAAAATAACTTAGGTTAATGTGTGTTTTTGCTTACTTTATTGCTCAGAAAGCGATAGATATAATTTTGATCCAGTGATTGAATTTTCATGTATTAAAAAGCAATCTCCATAGTTCAAAAGGTTGACCTCAAATATACTAATTATTTAAGAAAAGCTATGAATAATGTTAAGGAATCAGACACAAAGTCTCTGAATAAACAAATCTTTTGATCGACGGATTTGAAAACCAAGAAAATAGCAATCTGGGTAGACACAAACTGGAAAATATGGTCCCAACAGTTTCGTCAGAAAAGCGATCGAGATTTTAGGTTTCTTAATTTCTCTTTTTGCTTATTTTACCGAATCTGGAGCGATCTTTAACTCTAGATTGCCCAAGGAAGTCATTTTGACTGCTTTTTATTTTCAATTAGAAAAACAATGATGTATATAATGACACAATTTCTTAGAATTTTGCGACTTTTTGTACAACATATAATTTTTTTATTGTTAATATTTACTAATAACTTGTTATATAACTGTAAATAATATAAAAAATATTAAAAATTTATTTTTAAACAAATTTCTTTACACATTCACAATCCAGTCATTTTGACTGCTTTTGGGCAATATAGGTATATACTAAGTTTTAGTCTTTCTAGTGTTAAGCAAATCGAAATATTTTTTGCTCACATTATTGAATTTGTAGTTTACCAAAGATTATCGCATTTAAAAATAAATTTTAATAATATTTTATTATTTTATTTAATGATAGTCGAAAACAATTTGAATTGTAAGGTAAATTTTTATTACATTTCAAGCGATGTCACTTTAACTGATAAAAATACAAAGTTTGAATTAAATCGATCAAATAGTTTTTGAGGTATAAATTTTCTATGCACATTTTACGTATCTTAGTGCATAATAATTAATATCTCATAAAATTGTTTAAACAATTTCCGTAATATTATCTATATATATTTTACTTCTTTTACTCTGCATTATGTTTTAATTAGAAATCATATATAGATAAACTATATTTTGTCTAAAGAAAGTTTTGTTTTGTAGGAATCGGTGGAACACGATTTATCTCCTTTGAAGACCGTAATTGGCATAACGATTGTTTCAAGTGTGCTGAATGTCAAACTTCTCTTGTAGGAAAAGGATTCATAACAGATGGACCTGATATTCTGTGCCCAGATTGTGCCAAACAACGTCTTATGTGATGCTCGCCATAATTTTGCTTACTTAGTTTAAATGAACTTTTTTTTTAATCCTTTTTTTCTACTTAAGTATTTGCCTAAGCGCACAGTTCAAGATAACATACTAAAAAAGATAACTGCTTCTTAATGAAAACATTAAATGTAGATAAAAGTTTGTCATTTATAAAAGCCATATTTTCAAGAACCTGAAAAGTAGTTCAAAATATTTCAGTTCTAAACAAACTTTTGGAAACTTCCAGATTGGAAAACTAAGGGGAAGGAAATATTGAATGAACTTAATTTTAAACTGGCATAAAATTGAGAATTTTTTTTTTTTTTTAACGTTTTTGTTGTCTTTCAAATAGACAAAATTTTAGATTTCTTTTGAAGCCATATTTTCGGAACTACAGTAACCAAATCGCAATTTTTAAGGACGTTTTTAAAAACTTAAATGTTTAATAAAAAACTTTTGTGGTTTGTTTAAGTACAGTTTGGTGATACTGCTTAAATAACGAAAATCTATCGGTTCAAACAAGCGTTATGAAAAATTAAAGCACTGTAAAATATTCCTTTTCTAATTAAAGATGCATTCTAAGCAATTAACATAAAATTCAGAGAGTGGTCGTAAAATTATTGCCCAGCTCCTGTCTTTGAGGAAAAAAAAACCAAGTACTCGTAATTGTAACGACATTCAGTAAAAGCACCTACGTTGACCTTTAACTTATATGGTTATCTTTCTAATTGTTGTTGTTACTTTCTAAGTAATTGTAAGGCAGAGGCGGTGTGATTGTTCTTGCTTTCTAGTGGCGTCCTCTATGCCAAAAATTCAACTTCTGTCACACCCATACGTCACACCCGTTTATAGGGCGGTCCCATTCATACGTCCATTAATTCATCCACAGATCGTAATTTTGACTTGAAGCAGAGAACGATCAATCTCCAATTCAGTAGCCCAGAGGTATAATTTGTTATGGGAACATGGAAGACTTTGTGACCCGACAGATTTAACGTGCCCCAGTCACCATTTACTACACGTTCTCACGAACGTGACTGCCAACCAGGCTATCTCGGCCCTTCTAACTCGATCGTACCCTACAGGATTATACCCTTCTCCATGGTGATTACAGCTAATCCTAGCCAGCACTCTTTAAAAAACATCTCTCTGGCACTCTCTCGTCATTAGTCAACGAACACCCATCTCTCTTACTCATGGCATTATTACAATATATCTCCTCGATTCGCCTTGATTCGACAAACACTTTGATTGAGTATCAATTGCCGAACTGAAGATAACTTTTACGAATGTAACATCAATTTAGGGTTAGGGACCATGCTCATGTTAGCTTTATAGGCATTAATTTAACTTATTTACTTTTGCATTCAGTGTCTCGAACACTTTTTACCAGTCACTGACCGTAATCTAGAGATGAAATTTTTATAGAGTGTGCCTTTAAAAAGAATTTGTTATACAGACAGGTTAACAAAAACATGAGAAAAAGTATGTCAGACTAAAATAGAATTCAATGTTATTGTAGACAGCAATGTTGCAGTTCAATATTGTGTAATAATGAAATGTTGCTATAGGAATTTAGTTTTCCACTCTGAAACTTTGAAAAATGAGTACATAGTGTGAATGTGTTGAATTTGAAACAAAATGTATTTTGCATTTGAAAATTCAGTTTATCTTTAATATGAAGTACTTAAAAAAATAAAGAAATAAAATAGATTGTTTGTTGGAAGACTTTTCTTGATCTACTAGTAAATCATTCTTATTTTTTTATTTTACATTGCTATAAAGTAAAGTATAAAAATAAATTTCATGTATATTAATGTTTTTTGCGGATTTCTTTTTATACTTCATTAAATAATTAGAATATTACCTTCTTAATTTTTAAAAATTTAAATAAATTTGTATTTTTATTATAAATTATTAACATTAATTAATGAATAAATTTGCCTTAAGATAAACTACAATTTAACATAGCCATTACATCCAACATTCCTAAAGGTTACAAACAACGATAAATGCAGTGGTCAGGAAATCTTTGAAACTTCTATCGTCATCAGACAATGAATTTTAGTTATACTTGGATCAATTTAACTGGTCGAGAAGAGGTTAAAATTTTACTGATGATAATTTACATTTAGCAATATACCAGGACAGGAAACAATTGAATTCTCGTATGTGATGCACGGAGCACTTATTTAAGTTAAATAATTGGACAAAAAGTGATCAGAATTGTGACTGACGATATATTTTATCTACATATAATATAGTAATAAATTCTTTTTGTAGCGTCAGAAAATAGTTTAAATTTATATTGTCATCAGACGTAGAACTCTAGTTGAATCTACCACTTTAGCTAGTCTTTATGTATTCAAATTTCCAATGAACAATAAGCAGTTTCAAATGAATCTTACTTGTCTGCGCAACTAGTTTATCATCTTTATGTTAGCACATATGACGTCTAGCCTCTGAAATATCGGAACAAATATGAATTTCTTTAAAAAAAACGTCATTAAATGTCTCTATAAATGTATAGGTATTTTTATAAAATATGATGCATATATTTTACTGTGAAACCAGTATAAAATGAATCTCAAGTTATAAAAAATTCGCTGCGTCCATTTCTATGCTAGTGCTATACATACAATTGAAAATAGAAGCATGACCTCCTAACATATAGACATCATTTATCTGAATTATTGATTTCTTGTGGTAAATATTTATTTATTTTTAATTAAATAAATAATTTATTTTTACTTAATAAATGAAGAAAAATTTTCCTCAATGTTTGCACAAGTTGGCAGGTATGCATATGGAAACTTTTTAAAAAAAATATCAAATCGTCAACTTTTACGTTAGCGCTAAATATGCACTTTAGTTAGCTTGTTTTTGAACTAAATAAGATTTTTATTGAAAGATGTTAATAAATATTTCTAGACATACTTGTTTTTTTTTTTTTTTGGAAAATATATTTTAAAATGATACAACTTTATGATGAATTTCGCTTTGAAAAAAATTATAAAATAACTTTAAAAATTTAGCGCTATTGTTACGATGCCTTTAATTATATCGTAAATTAATTTATATTTTAATTTAACTTACTTAATATTTATTTTAATTCTACTCTTTGTTTAAGTGCCTTTACTTAAAGTAGAGATTTTCGATGAAACATATTTCCTGTCACACCCTGGTTTTGGAACACCAGTTTGGGGTGATGAACTTACCAATTAAACATACCAATTGAACATACCAATTAAAGGGCCGATAACAATATTTGACGAACGTGTGTTCAGTGTGAATGGATCATCCCCTTTTTAATTAAGGATCGGTTGAAAATACTTTAGTTTTGATTGGAACTATTATAGTTTTTTGCTGTTTAATCTTGTGCGCAATCTTTTTTATTTTTTTTTCTTCCGCTAGTTATGCCGGCTACGCAACACTATTAAGCTATTATTAACTCTATAAAGTTATAGTTTAGTTTTTGAACTAAATATTATTTTTGTGAAAGATGTCAGCAAATATTTCTAGACACACAGTCAACCTCATGCATAGTGTAGTTTTTTGATTTAATAATTTCTACTTTATGATCAATAAACAAAACTGTCTGTGTTTTAGCATCATAAAATATGAATATCAAAGAAACACTTAACACTTGTGTGTTAGGTTTTTGAAACCTTTTCTTATCAAAACTAATCGGAGGGGACTGCAAGTCTTGACCACGAAACAAATCACTCTGTACTTTTTACATTCTAAATTAGTGAAAGAAGGGTCCTTCATTTACTTCAATGTACAACTGCTAGCAAGGTTAGATTTATTCTTATACTCTATACCCCTAATACGCATGCAGAGCAACAAATGATCAGTCCCTATTAAAGTAACCACCGATTGTATTCTTATTTTCTTAACTGAAAAATAGAAATTCCATTTTAACTGGTGAATAATTTCTTCAAAATATTATTATTTTTCTTTCTTTTCAGTACCTCTTCTTCCTGCAATTAAGCGGGGACTAGAAACAACAAGTATCCGTTTATACGAGGAAATTTTAAATTAGTTTCATATATAATGATTTGGTTTTGTTAAATTTTATTCATATAAGCGGGTTATTCCATTATCCGATATGCAATTAAGTGGGGACGACTGTATTTGGGTATTTTTGGAAAATACGTTTAAAAATGATGCAACTTTTTGATAAATTTCGCGTTGCATCAGCGTTCTGATAAATTCCGCAAAACTTACAAATTTAAGTTAGTGCTATTAATTCTATAGAATTGACGTACTTTCAAAAAATGATACTCATATATCCATATAAATTATGTGTCAAATGAGTTCCATGTTACAGAAAACTGCAAAAAAAAAAAAAATCCGTATCCTCCTGTATGTTAGCACTATAGAGTTACATAAATCGTTCCACTTCTCACATTTTTATTTTTATTAGTCACAAATCACTGACAATTACATTTGAAATATTTTAATGATTAAAGTTGGTCAGCTGTTTAATATTATTTTTTTGGTAAAAATATTTTTGCAGTACGATTTAGGAAATAAATTACCTAATTCGTAAAACCAGCTACCGACTTAGACAATTTGAGCAAAAATGACTGAATAAATAATAGAGAATAAGTAATCCAAAACAAGTGTTTAGTATCATAATATAAAGTACAGTACTACATTTTCTGAACTGTTACGAGTTCAGCTTTTTTTACTTAAGTCATTTACTGATACGAGTTCAGTAAATGACTTAAGTTAAAATTATATAAAAAAGTTTCCACAAAACATCACAGTTTGTAACTAGAAAGCTCAATTATGACTTTTACTTGGAATTAAAAACACAATTAATTATAAAAACAAACACTTATAAGACATATTATGTTCAACGTTTGATAGGTTTTTGATTTAGTTATGTTTTAGGTAGTACATATAAAACGTTTTTTCTTTCTTAAACTTTCAACCGGCACATTTCTCGTGAACCCAAGTTTATGTTGCAAACATTGTACCATATTTTCAACTGAATGAGTCTCACACACAAAGCAAATCATTAGTCAAATCTTGAGAATGGGTGTCCAGTTTTGGGCTCTTAAATCATGTCGATATTTTGATTTCCATCTGTATATTTTTGAACCGAATGAAGTTTCTTGAATCAAGTAATATCTTACAGCTTCGGTCTCTTGGGCTTATGTATTTAATACACCTAACTTGTTTCGATTCCTTGCTTTAAGGAGTTATTTCTTAGATTTTAGATTACTATTTACATTTTTCTTTTAAAAGGAATTTGAGGGACTTTGATCTAACTTCTTTAATTTTATATTCATCCCC